CATTCCTGGATCATTGTAAATCTATCAAAACCATCAGGTTTCCACATCACTGTAATACTCTGAACAAATAGCTTTGCATTTGACTTCTAACACAAATATCAATGCTCATTTAAAAATTGCAACAAACCGCACTTTCCGTTTAGGCTTAAAGAGTTTTGATAGAACGGGTAATGTTTAGCAATCTTGGCCAACAAAATAATCATAGAAATAACAAAACAGCATAGAAATATCACAAAATATTCAATCAAGAAACATTTATCTTGTTGCAAAGAGGTTGAGCACCACTGGTTTAGCATCTACTCAGTTTCACGTAAACTCTAGTATCCTGAAGACCATTGTTCCCATTTTTGATTTTAATTACATTGGACCACGGTCACATTTCAGATTAAACTGTGAAGCAACACATGTCTACATTCTACCCAGCTCAGCTAATGTTAAAAAGATTGATTTTAAGTGAAAAAGTGGCATGGTGACAGCTCCCTATGGTTTAGCTAGCTATCAATGTGACAAATGTAAAATACTGTAAATTAGCAAGGAACAAAAGCAAAGGTATTTGTTAAATGGAGCAGTCATACAGCTTTGCTGGTCAGAAAGCAGATCTAGGATTTGTGGTGAATACATTAGACAAACAGTGCTTGGTTTTATTTAAATAAAAGCCAAACAAGGAATTGGCTGACATTAGCAAAGGTAAAGGGAAATAAAATAGATTTTTAATGTATAAGGTTTTGGCCAAATCATATCTGGAATACTGCGTGCATTTTTAGTTACGGAAATATTGCCCCTAAGAGGGTGCGTAGGAGAACTAAGATGATTTCATATTTTAGGAATTTAAATTAAGAGGAAAAGTTAAGGAAACTGCATTTGTGTTCCTTGGAAAGAAGAAATAGAATCAAAAATTATAGCACAGAAGGAGGCTACTTGGCCTCTTCAAGCATGTGCAACCCCAGCTCCTTCAACAGAATAAACTATCCTGATACTAATTCCTGTTCTCTACACGTACACTGCTTTGTTGCTTCTTGTCAAACGTTCATCCAATTCCCTATTAAATCTGGTTATGGTCTGTCTCAATAGCTACTTGAAGCAAACTATTATTTGTTCGAACAACCTTTCGTGGAAACAGTCTTTTTTTCTAACTTTCCCCTTAACTCGTCCAACAACAATTCTGAATTTATGTCCCCTAGTTACCGATTTACCATCCAGCATTCCAACAACACTTCATTATCTATCCTCTTAACACCTTTCAAAATGTTGAAGACTTCTAATAATCTTAACCTCTCCTGTTCCAGAACTTTGACCCTTTATGACTGGGATCATACATATGAACATAAACTAAATCCGTTTAATGGCTCGGACATTTTTTCTGTAAAGGAGCGCAACTGTGGCCTTAATATGCTGTATCAACGAAATAGAATAGGTAAGTCCAGTCAACACCAAAAAGGACAAAGCACTCTGCAAACTAATCACAAAAGCAGGGCAAGTAGAGATTACTGAAATTCTTTACCCCCTTCCCCACCCCACATCTAGAGGCCATTCTGATCAATTTTTACATTTTTTTATTGCTAATGGCAGAATACGAATAAGAGGTGTCATTGTGGTGGTCTCCATTTCTCTGAAAAGCTTCGTCCATGTCAAACATCTGAAATAGTGATAATATTTAAGAGTCCACAGAAGGAAGAACAGTAGTTCTCAAGACAACAGTTAACTTTCAGCCACCAGCGGTCCTGCAGTCTGCCAGCTTTAATTAGTCTTGTGTTTAATGATATAGACTCGCATTCCAGGGTCACAGACTTTCAAGTATCCCAGGGGTCAGACGTTTAGAAGGTCAATTACCTGAACTATGCCCCGTCTAGTTAAGTGTACGAGCGGCGCCAATATTCGGTGTTATGCATTTTTTTCTTAACAGGATTTCATTATGGCTGCTGGGATGACATGCAAACCATGTTATTTTTAAATAGCTACATCACACACATGCAAGGGTAATGATAGCTTGGTGAAAAGATTAACCTTGTCACTCAAGAAGCCATTTACCAAACAAAAGCACATTTGCAGGGTGAATGCAAGTTCACCTGAACTAATGAACAGCTTCACTAGTTTAGGTAGCACTAGAATGCTGGATAACTCTTTCCTGTGCTTATTTTTGAATTAATGAATTTTCACTCGTTCAATCTAGATCACTTAAGAATATAGCGTATAGAGTTTAAACGTTACTGTCTACTCGTGTCAAATTATTAACCGAACATTTTTGCCTTGCAAATTTGCACAATTAGCGATCAGAAAAAATTCCAAGCAAAATCTCCAGAAAATAATGTGGCTGCACAGCCAGCAACGTTTATACTTTGATCTACATCAAGCCAATCTTAAACTAAAAGCAACTGAACAGCACTTGAAGATGAAATGTTAATAAAGCATCAGTCTCACTCGCCACTTAATTCTGTTCATCTTAAAACACTGCAGTGATTCTGACCTTTCATATCAAGTTACTGATGTTTCAATGTAATTGAACATTTGCTATTACTGATGAACTTTGAATAATGTAAATTTCACACTGCAGTCCTCCTGCAAGGTTAGTACACACTGGGAAATAAGCTTCAAAGTGTCACATAAACTAAAAGAAAAAAACCTAAATGATTGAAGGGATTAACCCCTTTGCCCTACAATTCTAAACGGTGCTCACAGAAAAAGCAATCTGTTTTGGATGAAAATGGCCAGACTGGAGGGCAGAGGGCTCAATATTTCACCGGAGCTGATTTGCAATGTTGTATTTTCATCCCCATTCTAAATGTAATTACTCACTCCACTTATTAACAATTTAATGTGAAGAATGAATGGTTAAAACACTTCACTATACTTAAAATGCTATCTCATAACACTTTAGCCACAATTTCCAAAAAACTTTTTCAGAATTATATCACACTCTTTTGGTGATTTAATTTTCACAAGCTTGCTTCTGTTGCTATGAAATTATAATTGGATATCGTTCTATTTGACCATTCTTCCCGAGGTATCTTGTTGACTAGCTGTCAAATGATCTGGGAGTCCAGTGCCTTGTACCCAGCTTCGCAAATGAAAATGCTGGACTATCAACACTATTCCATTCATGGTAATTGGTTTAAATGAAGAATTGTGGCCAAATGAATGAATCAGTGTTCTTACATAGTATAAAAAGTTTAAGTACAGTAATAGGCTTTTTTTGTCTTGCAGTTTGTTATTGGCTTGGTTTGGTTTCAATCCCATCCATCTTGAATGTCATCTGAACAAGTCTTCAATATTGATTAATATTTTGGATTGATAGTGTTCAGACATTGGTGGAGTTTTTAGTGGATTAATAGTTACATGTAGAGTTTCAATTTTGAATGATTTACTTGATACCATTCACTATTGGTTTTATTGTTATGGAAATGTGTGTAGAAGTATTAACGTGGTCTAATTTGCCAATTACAATATTATTGGCATATTGTAACTCCAGAAATCGGTGGCTATGCCTTGAACCACATTCTTAATCTTTGATTCAGTCAGGCTTCCCCTAAAGGTGGAGGTTTGCTGTGCTCAGCTCGAAGAGACGTTTATGGCGGTAACCAAGAACATATGCTGATGAACTAAACATAGGTAAGCAAGTCACCCAATTTGGGGTAAAGGTATACAGATTATGTAAACACATGCTGTGTCCTTAAGACATGCATGCAGCAAGGAAGTCCTCAGTAGCCTTACACATTCACACAAGTGCACACATGTCACAATTATTTGGTGCTACAAACCGTTTTTTAAAAAATTCTCAAGTATACCAAAGGGGTACGAATCTGTTATTGATCTGGGAAATCAGGTGACAAGAATAGGCATTCAACGATTAGTCTGTAAAAGATGTCTACAAAATGACGTGACCCCAGCTATAATTCTGCCTCTGGCAGGTACAAAAAAGACAATAGCATTTTCTACACTGATTTCCTTTCTTCAGAGTTCCATGAACTGCCTTTCTTTACTTGCACTATTTCACCATTCAAAGGCAACTGTCAAATGTAATGGCTGTAGCCTTCTTTGCACCATATCCCTGTAACACTATATCAGTGTAACAATGAATGTTAGATACCCACTACTTCATCGGATCGGATGGTAAACTGCCTGTACGCTACACCGTTTCTGTATTCTAACCAAAGAATGCTGCTAAATTTTCACAAACTTGCTGGATAGTCCACAACAGTTAACATTTTTGAAGGGAATTCAAAGATCTGCTCCGAACAATTCTATAATCAGATTACCAACTTTTCAACTCCAATGATTTGAAACTTTTTTTTACCCTCAAGTGTCGCGGAGCCATTGAGAGAAATTTAAGTTAAAATGTTGGATTGTTGTCTTTTACTTTACAATCAATTTTTACTGAATTTTGTAAAGAACTGCAAGCAACTAACTGTAAGTGTTTGTGAACATTTAATTCAATTCCAATGTCAGTATTTCTTAAAATTCCACATTTTCAAAACAATGACCTGCTTTGCACAACTTATGACAATCAAGTGTTTTATTTATTTAAAGCTGCTAATGGAAAATTTGAACATGTATTTAGAGGCTGCTTCATCATTTACTGTGTCGGTCCTATGGTTTCACAAGCTACTACAAGCTACAACAGTTAGGTGATACTGGAGCCACGTGAAGGTTGTTGCCAGGGTGCCAGCCAGCTGTTAACAATAGACTTACTCAGTTGATTGTTAATAAACAAATTCTAACTAATTCCAGATAGGAACAAAACAAGTCTCCAGTAAAACAAAATTGCTTAATACATGGGTTTCAATCATCATTCAGAAAAATAGGTTGAAATTTCAGTCTTGTGTTAAACTAAATAGAGTATTAACAATTCAGTAATTATGACTAACACCGGATATTTGGCATGAAGCCATGAGCTAAGGGATTACAGGAGCTTTTCTTATTTTTCCACTAAAGAGATCTCAAAGCTCCCAGAAGTTATCTAAACACTGAACCACATGAGAGCACAAAACCTATTCCATATTTACCTGTAATGACATTAATATCCGGATACAGGTTTTCAGATATGCCCACTGCTTTGCTGTCACGTTCAAAAGCTTCTCGAAGTTCTTTCTTAACTGCAGCAGAGCCACAAAGACGATACAGGCCCACCACCTGGGAACAGAGTCACAACATGGTAAACTACTATTATGGACAGAAACACACATATTAATTAATAAATACCTCTGCTTAGGCAGTAAAGGCAAATTGATCTTTAAAATGCCAAGACCACTGAATTCCGTTCAATAGTGACAATCTGAAAGAGAATTTCTTCTTTCTGGAGGTCGGTGTGTGGGAGGGGGGTGTTAGAAAATCTAACAGGGGCGAGAGGGAAGATTGAGGAGGTTCTAAATATTTCTGGTGAAAATTAGCTGCCATTTTTGCCTTCATAACACTTCAATTCTAATTAATCTTATCAACCCACAATTTATTTAATGACACTTTTTTAAAAATGTCACCAAATAAGCCAATAAAGCGAAAAAATATTTCCGTAGAATTCCATGCATTCCATTGATTTGGTGTTAGCAGCGTTTTGTCGTCTACATTTATTTAGGGTGGAAGTGGATAGAGTGCTCCAAGAAAAAAAAAAAATTTGCTATTTTACTGTAAATTTTCAAAGTACAAAAATTTGGGATCTTTTGGTTATTTTTAAGCTCAAAAATAGTTAGCTCTAACCAACTGAATTGAAATTGCAAACCATTTTGTTGTATTGCTAAGATGTACGTTTGATAAATATTTTGATTACACAACCATAATTAGTTTTACTATTTTAAAAAGGCATAGTTTTGACATGGACACTGCTGACAGAGTATTATTCTAACTTTTCTAGGCTGTACAAGGTGATCTTCATTCGAGTTTATGCTGTTCAGCCTTAACCTCCAATTTACCCAGTTTAGAATCATAAATAAAATCTCAACCACTTCATCTCCAGTAACTCTATATCTTCAATGAGACCATACCCTTAGCGGACTCTGTGGCTGATCCTCTTACAAGAGGATCAAGCAATAAACCAACATATGGAAGTTGGCCCAAACCAACAAATGAAGAATGAAGGAGAGAAAAACAAGAATTCACAGGTCATTCAAAAGTTCTGCTCCATACTGTTAGGGCCTTTACGCACGTCTCAATCAAGTATTTATTTGATGTTTATTGCTACTAAATGTTAAGTTGACCAAAATGATATTGCTGATTATTTTCGTAGTATAACACTATGTACTGTGACAAGTGTTATTCAGAAAGGACATTTGTATCTCAAATTATTTTTTTTAACTTGCCAATTACAGGGTTTTGAGAGCATACTGTATATTGTCATATGTATACTTCATTGAATTTTCACCCACCCATCCCAGAGAAGTCCTCTACCTTTTTTTTGATGATTTCTTGCTCTGGGATTTTAATGTGGAAAATGTTATGATAAGACGCCTTAAGCAAATGAAGTGAATATCTCCAATGTAATCAGCCGTTTGGTCTCAGAAGAGCCAAAACCCGATCACAAGATTTTAGATAGGTCACAGGTTGCCAGTCAGATACTTTATGAGCTGATAAGTGAACATCAGTTATACAGCCAACATCTAGCTTCTCCAGTTACTATACAGCAATTACATGGGCAACTGTCTAATGAAACAGTATGGAATGGGTTCTTTAGAAAAATATAGTTACACGGTTGTAGGATGAACTCTGATATAATTACTTCAGAAAAGATTTTAAATGACTAACCAGTCAGACTCTTACCAGATGGATTCAGTGAGATAAAGAGGCTAGCAACTTTTAGTATCCCCACAAATCGTTATAGGCATCAAGAATAAATCAAGGTTGCTTTTATAATCCAAGGATCAAAATAGTGCTCACAATCATCTGCCGTCCTGCATTCCATCAAGCAAAAGTGTTTCACTCCTGGTTCGGGAGTAGTGGAATGTCAATGATGCTCGAGTTCACAGTCTGCACTTCCCGTGTTGACAGTCTCATCAAAAATCAACAGGGATTTGTTTTTCTTGGGCACCTTATCTAATCACTATTTTCCTAAAGATCCTGTAGCATTACTAAAGCCAGAGCTGTTTTCGAGCCTTGCACCGTTGCTGCAACCCATGTCAGCTCCAATTAGGGAAACCAACACAGTTCTTCCAGGAAGCTGCCTTATTTAGTTATAACTATGTGGGAAGTAACATAAAAGGATTTATTGATGTGGAACCAATTAAGCAATATACAAGAAAGAAAGTAATGCCATGGATATTATTATCCATTATTATCCATAGTATTATCTTGGATAGGCTAAAACACTAACAATGTCGCACCTAAGCCATGTAAACATTAACAATCTATCAGAAAAAGTTATTTCACTAACACTATATTAACATTTTTCGCAACATAAATACTTGCTGCTTGCTAAAAGAAAAGCTATGGGCTTGTCACTTTCTCTACACCACACATCTAACGATTCTGTTCTGGTTACACCAAAGTCACCACCTGAATCAGACACATGCTTTTGCAGCGGTGGAAATGAATAGCCTCTCAGGTTAATACAATCTGCTCCCATTGTAATCCATTCAACGGAAAGCAAAGCTCCATCCACTTGCATGTGCAAGATGTGCTCACCAGTTTCACATTCCTGGTGAAATTGTAAGAAAAGTCAATGGAATGGAACAGTCAATGCTTTTCTAACACCGCAAAGCTAAAAGGTTTTAGAGTGATAATTTTACATATGCATCACGTAAAACTGAAGTACTGCAAGATAACTAACACCAGGTGATCTTGCACCAAATACAAAATACTGAAATAGCATCACTTTAGATCGCAGTATTTTATACAACTCTCACTTACCTGCACAGGAAAAATGGCTATACAGTAAGGCAATGTGCGCAGCATAATTGTATTAGGCGCTCTGTAACCATTAATTATAATGATCAGCTACATGTTATGGCATGGAATATTATTAATAGTCTTCATCAGTACAGATGACAAACTACACACCAGCAACCTGCACTTGCTAAAAAAAAACTTTTAAATCATTAATCCAAGGCCACCCTATTCAGAAGTCAGCGCTGAATTGCACTAGTAAATTTATTTCATTATTTTAGTTACTAATGAATGAAACATTTGTGCTTCATTTCTTCCAACTAACAAAGTGGCTTTATTCTTCCAAATACTGGCACATAGATGGCTGGTGTAATGACATGAAGGGGTCCATTTTGCCTTGTTGCACTGAGTACAGATGCCATGTTCCCAAGGCCAAATACTTATTTCAGCAATCTTATCTGTGCACTCACCATTTCTCATTTTCTATAAGAAGAAAAACAAGGTTCACCTGAAGATCATATCATACCATTAGGGCAAGAATCCAGCAAAGTCTTTTCCTCTTCCCACTCCTCCCACAAAAAAAAATAATCAAAATGCTAACAGTGAAAACACACCTTGCGTGTCCTCTATGGGTAAGTTTTGCAAATACCTTCTTGAGTGCTGAATAGTATATGCATACTAGTGTACTTAAATTATTACTCCTTCCCACAGTTTGGAGTAAACCAACATACAGGAAATGCAAATATTCTTGAAGCCCATGACTTTTTTATAAGACCCACGAAGCATATCGATATCAAATAATCTGAAAAATTGCAATTGCATTTGCATGCTGTGCAACGCATATGAAAAACTCAAAAATGGACCTTTTTTTTCATTAGAACTTAACTTGACCATTGCCTTACCTGACACCCTCTCTTCTCAATTTCCACAATACATTTCTGCATCAACAAGGGTACCCTCAAGCCGACATTCTCCTTTTCAACAATTTTCCGTGCCTCAACACCAAACACCACTGGCTCCCGTACTCCGTCTGGACTGTCAAGTGAATTTTCCCACTGCTCCATCAGAGTCAATTTCACATAAATCAGACCTCTGGGCTCCAGCTTCACTGCCAGCTGATGCATCTTCGCAACCCTGAAGAGTGTTGGGAGCACAACAGTACCATGGCAACAGACTCGGTTCCGACGAGGAGTTGGCTCCCAGCTGAAGACCACCAGCTTAAGGTGCTGGGCATTCTCCAGTTCAATATTAAATGTGTGGTCCATATCCAGAAATGTGGTCCTGCACGTCAGTAAGGCTGTCCTGGCCTTGTTGACCGAGTCCACTTGTATGGCACAAAAAACATCTCTTGAATCAATCCTTGGTGGCTTCAGATCCTCAGCCCCATAAAAATGTACACTCATCAGTCCTGAAATATATTGAGAGCACTTGGGTTGATCAACAAAGCTGTAATGTCTGAAAGCGTCGATATCAATTTCTGTACTGTATGTTTTATGAGTGGTTGTAGTTGGGTTCCCCTTTCCAGATTTGCTATCACACGAGTGCTTACCCGCCTTTGCCACGAGTTCTGGTGAATCTCCATCACTAAGATACCCGCCTTTGCTGGCTGACTTGGAGCTCCCTGTACTTTTCTTCTTGTCATTTTGTGATACAACACTTGTATCCAGGTGATAACGGCTAATGACATTCCTACTTGCAGCGTTGGTTGAGTTTCCAGATAAGGAAGATCCGTGGCTGGCTTTGGGTGAAGAATTATGATTATCGTTACTGTTATGGCTTGCAGTCCCTTTAACACTCAACTTGCGGCTGAGTTCAGGCAGTTTTTTCATTTTCATTGAAAGCTTCCTCACAGTTCGTGGAGATTTTATCTTTTCTGGAAAGGACCAGTTAATTGCACTCCCTTTTTTCAAAGGGCTTGGGCTGGAAGGTGGAGAAAATTCTGGAGTTGTTGTTGCTACTGTTACAAGTGAACAATCAGGACCATTGGAAGGATCAGTGGTAGCTAATAAAACCAAAGGAATGAAACATTACCACAACTCAAATGAAGTACATTCAATCTCTCAAAATGGCAAACCTAAATTAAAGCAGTATTTTTTTTTAAACCAGCATTTAAAGTTCAGTAACAATTGTATCAGGTTGTATCAAAATAAATATTGCCACTGCTCTACAAAAACAAGTTTTCACTGCAGTTATTACTTTTCACATTCATGCAACTAAGAAACAGACTCAGCCTCAATATTGGCTCTTTAAAATAGAAGATAAAAATAAGCCATTATAAAAACCTATAGACTTTTTAAATTGCCAGTCATTTGTTAAAAGAACAAGACATTTCAAAAATACCACTCTGTAAAAAACTGTAACTTTGAATTGTTTAATTTTAGAATGACGAAATAGACAAAGACAAATTCAGATTGTACACATGTAACCTGCATTATTTTGATATATTAAGTGTTCTAAATATCTAACACTGCAGATTGGTGTCATTCCATTATTCAATAAGCTCTGGATTCACAGTGGCATTTAAGTTGGTGCTGCTGTGAAGCAGGACAGTGCCAAGTTTATTTTAAACACTGTAAAGAATTACAAATGAGAATTTTTAAATCAGCATGTGTAAGTTGTGACTCATTTCGTTAATTAAAATCAGTTTGGCTTGGCAATACACTTCTATAGCCAGTTTGTGTGCAAAGTAAAATTCAGCAGGAGGATGAAATGGTTGACAGCAAGTTAGGGAATGTTGTACACTAAACAGGGCACTGACAATTAGTTAAGTAGAATATCAGCCATGAAGCCTGGGAATCCGATATCATCCTAAATGTACATTTATAATTTTAAAGCTACACCATTAACCTGTGCTTTAGAAGCACATATTTGCAGTGCCTGAAGTTAAAACCATATTAAAAAAGGCTGATTTTAAAGGAAACAAAGGCAGAGTTTTTGTGGTGATCTGCATCTCTGTGCTGGAATAGCACACATTTATGAACAGTGGAAGTCCTATACTCCAGCTGCTTGTTGTGCATCTCTGGCAAGAAATAATCAAAAATGGGACATCTGATAAATTGAGACAATACCATTCCTTGTACTGTAAATCACAGAGCAATCACCATTAGCAGGACTGCCTTACAGCATTCATTAACCACTCATGCCATTTTTAGACCACACAAAATGAATCTCTCATTTGCTGGCAGATACTTGAAAGCAAAGAGGAGAGGAACATACAATGGAATACATGGAAATGCAGCTTCCAAAATAAAAGTCTGGGCTATTTATGTGTGGAACTAGGTTCTTCCACCCCCTCAAAGGCATTGACTTGTGTTCTGTACAGTTCTAATGGTACCAACCACACTCTGGTGCTTTACCCAAATCTACATTCCTCTTATATCAGCATAAAGAGATTACTTGAGCCAGCCAAACCAACTCAGTCTACACAAGGATGCTTTTCAGTCAGTGTCACTAGATAGAGATTCAAAATAGTTACCCTGTATGATTTTTACCCTTCATAGCCCAGGAATGCTGGAACCAACTGATTTGCCTTTGACTGGTATCTCAGTTATAATCAGTTATTTTAGCTCAGACCAGTGATCCAGATATGTACGGTTTAACTTTCATTCTCGGTGATGACAATCTCGCTGGAATGGAGTGACCTGGTGACCTGCTGGGCAGAAGCCAGAGAAATCTAGAGTGCTGGAGGTTAAGTACACCCTACAGCATAGGAGCAGTGTGGCCCACATGAACAAGTCCAAACATCCCCTTTACTTCCACAACTCCAAATCCCTGACTGTCCAGCGACTTGGGACGTCCTCCCGACGTGAAAGGCTTTATACAAATGTAATTTTGTAGTGCATCTGATCCCTGACCCCTATAACACACTGACAGGGCTATTCTGTTCAGGGATTTGTTCATGATTTGCCAATCTGTATCTGAACTCTGCCAATGCCAGAAGCATAGAGCTGGGAAAAGGGGAGGGGAGTCATGATTTTGGATTATCCCACTGTACTGAGAGTTTAAATCATTTTATAGATTTCTTAAATTGTATTTCAGCTTCATCATTCACATCAACAGCTTTATACCAGCCATCTCCGTTCCCTCAAGGCACAAGTGCGAGCTGCCGAACACGCCTGGACCAAATCCAAACTAACGGTCCATGGCAGATTTGGCTTCACCACAACAAGACCTACCGCTGTGCTCTTGCCTCCGCCAAATCCTCCTTCTACTCCAAGGTTATCTGGGAGGCAAAGGACAACCCCAGGCTTCTCTTTTCCACCACTAACCGTCCACCTTCCCATACCTCGCCCATCCTCTCCTAACTCCAACTGTAACGAGATGCTGGACTTCCTCGAATCTAGAATCGAGGAGATACGTTCAGCCACCTCAGCCCCATTCACAACCATCCCCACATCACCTCTCCTTCATGACCCACCCCCCACCCATTCCCCCATACTCCTTCGACTCTATCTCTCCCTCTTCCCTCACCACGACTGTCCGCAAACTCAAACCCACCACCTGCTCCCTCGATTCCATCCCCACCTCTCTCCTCGTCTCCCAGCACCACCTTCTGTCCCCTCTCCTGTCATCAACTTCTCCTTGTCCAGTTCCCACCCCCCTAAAAACAGACGTCATTACCCACATCTTGAAAAAACCTTCCCTGGATCCATCCCTTCTCTCCAGCTACTGCCCCATCTCTAAACTCCCATTCCTCTCCAAGGTCCTGGAACAAGTCGTCGCGTCCCAGCTCGCTCCTTTCTCTCTCGCCATTCCCTCTTTGAACCCCTCCAATCCGGCTTCCACAATGCCCACAGCACGGAAACAGCCCTGGTCAAAGTTACTAAAGACATTCTGAACATCTGTGATCAGGGCTCCCTCTGCCTCCTTGTCCTCCTCAACCTCTCTGCCCCCTTCGACACTGTCGACCACTCCATCCTCATACACCGCCTTACTCAATCTTCACGGACCTGCCCTTGCCTGGTTCGATTCCTATCTCTCTCACCGTTTCCACTGTGTTGCCTCTTACGGTTTCTCTTCCAGCCCCCGCACTGTCATGTCTGGCGTCACCCAGGGCTCTGTCCTTGGCCCTCCCCTCTTTAATATCTGCATACTCCCCTTTGGTGACATCATCCGCAGACATGGGATCAACCTCCACATGTATGCGGATGACACCCAACTCTATCTTTCTGCCTCAACCCTCAACTCCAGGACCACTGCTGTCCTGACAGACTGCCTGACGGACATCAAGTCCTGGATGAGGGCAAATTTTCTAGAGTTGAATGTGAACAAGACTGAGGCCCTCCTGATTGGCTCGCGCCAGGGCCTCTGCACCTCAGGTTCTGGCAGCATCAACCTTCAGGGTTGCACACTACAACTCACCAAGCCAGTCAGGAATCTAGGTGTCTTGTTCGACTCTCAACTGTCTTTTCTCCCCCACATTCAAGCCATGACCCGCTTTGCCTTCCCTCACCTCTGTAACATCACCCAACTCCGCCATTACCTCACCCATCAGGCCGCTGAAACTCTTGTTCATGCCTTCATCGCGTCCAGGCTCAACTATGCAAACGCCCTGCTTGTCGGCCTTCCCAACTCCTCCCTCCACAGGCTGCAGATAATCCAGAACTCTGCAGCCCGTGCCCTCTCCCGCACCAAACTCCGTGACCCCATCTCCCCCACTCTCACCCGACTCCATTCGCTCCCTATCCTTCAGAGGATCCAGTTCAAGATCCTGGTCCTCACATACAAAGCGCTCCATGGCCTCTCCCCATCCTAACTCTGCGACCTCCTAACCCTCTACCAACCCGCCCGTTCCTTCCGCTCAGCCGGCTCTGGCCTGCTCCATGACCCCCGACCCACCCGCCCCACCATTGGCGGGAGAGCCTTCAGCCACTCTGCCGCCAACCTCTGGAATTCCATCCCCCAGTCACTCCGCCTCGCCCCCTCCTTAGCCTCCTTCAAGTCCTGCCTCAAGACCCTCCTCTTCGACCATCCTATCGGCCACCCGCCTTCCCCTCCCCTCCCTTCCCCCACCCACAGCTCGGGTCTGAAATGCTGCACTCTGTCCAGCGCCTTGGGACGTCCTCACGACATGAAAGGCGCTATACAAATGTAATCTTGTTGTTGTTGTTGTATACCATCAAGACAAAGGAACCTGTACAGGACTTTGTAACGTCTGATTATACCTAAACTTAAATACTGTTATCACATTAAACAAATGTGATAGTTGTTCAGTTAATAAGTAGTCACTTGACAAAATAAATGTCATGACTAATTTAAGTCGGTAAATGTCATTCCAACCTAGTTCAACAACAACTTGCATTTATTTAACCGCCTTCATGGGGGGTAGAGTCCTGGAGTGCATAGCAGTGGCAGAGCCAGGCGCCAAGCAGGGGAGGGAGCGGGTGACCATAAGCATGGCTGAAGAGGAAGATCTTCAGGCGTGAGTAGATCCCCTGATAAAGGGGAAGGATGGCGTAAGGCGGAGGATTGAAGGAGAGAGTTCCAAAGTTTCAGGGTGTACTGGCTGAAATAACAGCTGCCAACGGTGGAGCGGAGAGGATGAGGCACAAACAGGTGGTTGGAGCCAGCTGAGCGGAGACAGTGGGTGGGTGAATCTATGATGTCTCTTACAGCCTGCTAATACTTGGTCTCCAGAATGATGTGAAGGACAGCTGCTTAAGGACTGCCAGTTGATGTCTATACAATATCAGCCATGCAGATGCTTCCACCGTTTCCTACCTCACGTATCAGCCAAAGTTTCCTTGCTCAAGATGGTCACTTGCGTACTTCCTTGCATGGTTAACTGCAAAGAATTTTATCCAAGAGCAGACTGCAGTACGATATCTACACCAAATACCTGGAATGGTGCCAAAATAAACAAAACCCTTCGAGAGTTTTGAAAGGACATAGGTGTATAGAAGGTGCAAAGATCTTCTATTCCCAGAATTTACTGAAATAAATAGGCCACTTAATATTTTTTGCAGAATGCATTGGGATTATTACCTATGATCAGGTTTATTGTATGCAAGTTATGTAATAGGTTCTATGATTGTCTTTGCATTATGTGAGCTCTCAATAAAAAATTGTCACATTTACCCCTTCTCTCTCGAAAATAATAACGAACAACTCCAACACACTCAAATGCCTTTTTGAAACTTATGTGTGACAGAAGGACGAGTAATGTAACTGCAGAATCCCTACCAGAGAAGGCGCAAAAGACAAACTAAAGCCACTCTTATTTGACTTCTCTGTACAACTGAACTCAATATCCTACAATTCCATCTGATTTTAAACTTCATAAAGCTCTCCAAAATGCCGCCAGGCTTGAAGGGCACTATATAAATGCTAGTTGTTGTTGCTGTTGAATTATCAGTGGGGGAGGGAGGCACGGAATACTGCCCAGGGTCACTATTCCTGGATGCTTTCCAGCAACCCCTGTCAGAAGGTGCATTTGACGACAGGATTGGACTATGAGGCAGAAAAGGGCTGGCAGACAGGATAGCGTTTGCTCTTGTCTAAAGCAGAGGAATGGGGAAATGAAACATATGCAATAAATGAGTCTTAGACTTGGTGTTTAGCATACCTAGTCTATCACTTACTGAAAGAAAATTCCATGGCAAACTAAATTCGAACACTCATTTCTAAAATAAACCCAGCAGCAAAAGAGATCCCTTTTGAAGTGCAGATGAACTCGAGGATAGCATCTGTAAGTACTGGAGCAGTAAGCTAGTCATTATGAACATGTACTTCAATGTTGCTTAGTAATTTGTGAAAGACGACCACAGAGTGTCTAATGAGGTGAATTTTCCAACTGATTTTAAACTTCATAAAGCTTTAAGGATTAAGCTGGTGGGTTGGATCACACGTGTACAGTCCCCAACAGAGTCATTTTATTAAAAAAAGTGAGTGAAGGAAGTTACTTCTAGGAACTTCAGTGAAAATCCAATGAAGCACTTTGGAAGTTATTCACATGGCAAGTAATTGTTCACAGATGACTCCCTGCTCTCACACATCTGCAGCCAGGGAGTTTTGAGAGAAACGAAAGGAGAAAATAGAAACAGTCTTGAATTTTATTCAGACAACCCTAAATTCATATCCAACCTGAGATTTTGTATATCTGCAATTACACAATTCAAGAAGGGCCATTGCTTAGTCACCCCTAGCCTCAGCTCCAGGCTACCCCTGACTGATGGCATGCTTATCTCCTTTTACTCTGCCAGCCGTGGCGTGCCATTATGTATCAACAGTTCAATCCAAAACTTAGCGACTTAAGTTCACAGTATAAAACGGGCTATAATTTAGCACAAGTTTGCTATCTTACTTAGGGATGGAGTATTGCAAGTGAACTGAAAAACAATTCACACTTGTACAACACAGGACGTTGGGGCTAGGGATCAGAGTTGGATCCAATGTGGTTCTGACCCAGGTGAGTGAGCCTGTTGGTGATATTGGTATAAAAATAGAAATGAGTGTTTCATGTGTTGTAATATCACTCATCCTGATGAATACAACAATCAAACAAGTCATAGGGTGAATGAATATCTTTTAATTACATCCATAGGTTTGTCAGACTGGTGTGCACATGTGTTTATTTTTTCTCACTTTGCTCTCTATCGGAACAATATCCTAATTCACTGTGTGGTTTGAACATCTGTGTGAAGAAAGTTTGAAGAAATTCCACCTCGATCTAGATATACTCTATTTATGCAGCATTTTAGAGCGTCCAGAATTTGGCAAATGTTGAATACAAGTTTAATTTTGAAGTTAGTTTTTTGAAGTACATAAAACAGAGCCAGAGAAATTTGGGGAGAGGTCCAGAGAACAAAATAAATAAGTGCAGTATAAATGGAGAACGAATTTGCACAAAAGAAGCTCCTTGCCATTAACTTTCCTGACCTAGATCTAACTGTACGAAACCTCCCACTTTTTCAATGCCATGCTTGAAATCCCAGCAAAAGGGTAAAATGCAGTAGGAACACAATGTAATCCCAAGAGACTCAGTACAGTGTGACATACTTGTATATCATTACACAAATGGACGTCATAGGAGTAATGGATTACGGCAACATTACAAAGGTTTCAATATCAATATTTCCAGCCTCTATCTAAACTGATGGGGTGTGAAACCTAAAGCTTTTTAAACATTTGGACTGAATCCAAATTTACTCAACCACATCATTTCCACTCTCCTGTCTTATTTCAAGTTAGCAGACCATTTAAAATAATTGACCATATAAAATGGCAGAAATGTTCAATCCAGTTGCTTTCTTATACTAGAAGAAATAACTGGTTAACAGTTCCTGTACTACTGCTGGTCTATAGAATTTGCCTTCTGCCTGCCAACCCTATTTACAGGGCTTACAGTATGAGAAGAAATGATACTCAACCTACGTCTCATTTTACCTCAAACAAAACAAAAGTTACTTTAGTATTTAATACCTTTCATTTTAAATTTTATAACAGTTGCACTGATTACTTCAGTGTATCTAAAGTATAAATTTCACTAATTTTTCCTGCATTGAAATCTGCTACGCTTACTTGGTCTGCAACTCATAACTTGACACAAGCTCTCGAAAATCAACCTAATGAGAACAGGGTCAAGTCTAATAACTTTGTATTATCTTGAGAATAGTCAGTTGGCAAGAACTCAAGCTATTAACAGTTTTCAAAGCCCATTTAAGGAAATACATTAGTTAAAACCAGTCGTTGCTAAATACATATTAGAGGAACTATAGAAATGGATTTGCAAACTGAGGTAAACTAATTTCAACGCTATTGGATGAATTATTCAAATTAGTAATTTTTTCTGGACAAATATCCAGCCCAGATAAGGAAATCTAATTCACAGCCTACGTTCTCCCTTTGCCAACACGCACTCCTCCAGCCAGGGCAGTTTGGCTGTGGACTTGAAACCTGTATCAACCTTGAAACCTCTATGATTAATTGGGAAGAATGAAAGCTTTACTAGGTCAAAAACAGACAGGTCATCTGCACGCTTTCAATCCACTAGCACTAGTAGTTTGAAATTTGTGATACCCTGGAGTCTGCATACTCGTGCCAAAGGAAAAGAGCAGTTTCTTTCTCTTCACATTTCATACTTAGAACATAAAAGCTCACTCCCCCAGATGGCTAAGAATATCTTATAATCCTGAACCTTCAAGAAGGGATGTAGAATGGAATGTGAAAAATGCCTAGTTTCCTGTTTGACTGCTATTTAAAATTATTTCCACATGACTGTCGTGTTCAGTGCGACTCTTTATTCTGGCTTGATACATCCTGTTATCCGATTTCACTATACTCTGACAGCTACAATACATACAAACTCATCTGTCAAACTAAATCCTTTACTGAAAGCAAGCCAAAGGAATTCTAAACAATAAATCAATGCTATACTACCACTAGCTAATGTCATTTGCATATTAATGCAATGAGAGGGGGCAATGAGAAAATTCAGTGCAGAATAAGTGATAGGATGGTATAAATATTCTGCAATGCTACTGTACTGAATTCAAATCTGCAGCAACTTGGCACATACTGTGACATGTGTGAATGGGAAAATTATTTCCAGACTCCAAATGAAATGAATATAAGAGATACTCAAGACTGGAAAGATTGAAATGTACTCTTGCATTCCACATACACAACACCATCCAATACTGGTGAGTGATTGAGGTGGGATGGTAAGGTTCCATTAGAACCCTTGGTAATTCAACATTTGCCAGAATTTCCTTCCCTGGGTTTACTGTGGAAAAAAATGAAGCTGGAGTAGAAGCCATTTGTGGAGACAAAGTGGAGATGGTGTGAAAGCTAGGATCTGAACCACTCAAGGAAATAATCATCATTAATTGTATTGCTAAGAGATTAAATGCTGAGATCAGATAGCGTAGATTAATTGCAGAGCAGTTTTAGCTGTCTTTGACACCATATCCAGTTAATTTAGCAGAACAGTATAACTATAGGATCGTGTTAACACGAACATATGTATGTGTATAAACATATCAATACAGAAACAAAAATGGTGGTCCAGGGAAGCTCATTGCGTGATCAGAAGCGTGATCACAGTATCTAGCACGAGAGACAAAATTGCACGTAAATTAATCCTAGGAAAGAAGTGCCCTTGAAAGTGTAGATTAGTTAAAACGGATGTGTGTGCTAAGGAAAATCCTTAAAATGAAAAAGATGGGAGTGAAACAACTTCAAATTCCAGTTTGTGTTAATCACAGTAGAAAATTAATAATTTACAAACGCTAAGTTTACAGAATAGAGATAAGAGTTGTGTTGCTTACCTCCAGCTGCAGATTTGTGTACAGCGCCCTCTTCCACAATCACTCCACTCAGGGACTTGCACGTACACATCTGCCAAGGCAGCTGCACACGATCTGTGGAATGTGTGGAATTTCCCTGATTCACATCGGTCGCTGGAGCTACCTGGCTCTCCCTCATGCTTTCACAGCAACTTGTAGATGTCCCCAAGTTCATTGGCCCTTTCATTCCATCGATGCTGGGTAACGCGGGGTGAGTCACTTGCGGTCTGCTGCTCACATTCTCCAGGGCAACTCCGGGAGTTGCCGATGGAATCTGTGAGAGATTAGGCTCATCATCTTCTGGGATAGGATTGTACCAGATCTCCCCTTCATCATCCGCATCGTTTTCATCGCTGTGGTCGAGAGTACCCACTTTGGTTTGCTTGGTAATGTTTTGTCCGATGGGCTCCCTCGGTGGAACCAGTGGCTGCCGCTTGCTTTCCTGTGAAGGGCAGCCAGGTCCATTCATGTGGTTTGTCAGCTCTACTGATAGGAGAACATTGGTCTCTTCAGTCCAATAAGGACTGTGAGTGCTCTGCTGCAGCCAGTTTCGTTTTTTAGACACAGTGATGTTGTTAACGTGTGGCATGGACTCATTGACCTCATTCACTTCACTGGTTTTTAATTCTCTCCTGATAATTGAGGAGATATGAACATTCTCAATGAAATCTGCAAGAGGAAGAGAAGAAAAGCTTATCAGTATAACAGTGAGAACATGTGGAATGTTTACACTGAATATTCAAAACAGGAAATCCGTGCATCCCAGCACAATAAGACTCGGGCGATCCCATCTCTAAACATAGATAGGCACAAGCTGAACACTGCAATTCATGCAAAAGCACATACCAAGCCCTGCAATTCACCCAATTTCCTAAAATTAAAGCATGCTTCAGTATTCATGCTTCATTTATGCGCTCCGAGATTCTGCCTCGCATGAACGGCACTACATAAATAGAAGTTGTTCGTGTTGTTGTTATAACCTAGGTGCTAAGGAGTTAGATTTCCCAACTATAGGCTACAATAATCTTCAGTTCAAAGAACATACTAGCTATTATCTGCAACCGGCAAACTATTGTCTTTAGAATGATATAATTGCACAAGTTGAAAACTTCCCATATGAATCAGGCTTTCTTCCCTTACACCCTTCCCATTCTATGTGTTCCTTACAAGTTTCTGTTTTTTAGTTATTCCTATGTCATAAACCACATAGCCACTTCACAATTTGAATATTCTTTAAAATCCAGGGTTTGTGCCGACTTTGCTGTGAATTGGAAAAGCCAACAAGTACCACAACCAGTTCAGTCTTTTAGCTGCGGCTCATCCTTGTACTACGGGTTTGAAAAATCTTAAAATGGAATTGGGACAGTCAAAAATGACCTTCACTTTGCAGACACTATTCTGAGAGCATTCTGCTGTCTGCCTCCCACCCATACTAGAGCCAGCCACAGTGCTGCATGCAGCAACAGCTGAATGCTGTATGTTCAACATATGGAAGCATTTAAGAACGGGTACTCAAAACACTTTATATTTGACTCAAAACATTATTATTCAGTCTGTAGATAATATATCGGCATGCCTCTGGCAAATGGGCAACCAAGTGCTGCCAGCATTGTTAAGGTTAGAAATGGAGCTTAAGTCGCCTTGACAATATCTGTTTACCACCATTTTCCTTGTACTGGTTCATTGCACCCCACAACAATAATGCCTTCCAGGCGAATACTTTCAAAGGAATGTGGCGGTCACAAAACACACGAACGTTACAACACTGCATTACTGCTTCAACAATATACGCACTTCTTTTCAGGGGCCACATAAGTGATATCAGGAGCACGTTACTACTTGCACTACATTCCAGCAGAATCCAGATAACACAGTCAACTATTTTTCAATTCTTTCCCAATACTGATAGTATCATATACATTTCACTGTGCTTGATAATATCAGTAAAAATACTATACACTAAAAATTAAACCAAAACTGAACCATCTTTTCTAATTACAAACAAATTCCTAAGCAATATACGCACGTTCATCAGTGACTGCATTCTTCGCACTCGCATTCATGTCTCGACCCATCAATTATGACCCCCACCGCCAAAAAAAAAGCACATGAGCTGACACCAAACACATCGCAGTAATTCAAATTCCTATTAATTCAAGACTAGCACATTTAACAAGTTACTGAGACAAAAGTCAAACCACGTCATAATTTACTAAAAATTCCTATATTGTATTTAAAACATTTAAAAAGTAAAAATAAGTCTACACATATTCAAACGCAGTTCTAATATGTATGCATGTTACTAAAACTAAGTTGAAGTTTTCTTTGGAAGCACTCTGCAGTGTGCTCATTTAAAATACTGTACTTTACAAAAAGCATTTTTACAAATTCTGTTGAAGTAAAATAATTCGATTTTCTGGGAGTATTTCTGATCTTTAGGAAACTATTATGAAATATCCAGCTCTAAAATAACTCTTTGACTTTACATTGGAACACAGTAGTTATGAAAAAAAACTAGTGTGTTTTTCACCCTTGGCAGATTAACTTCTGTCAAATTATAGGCTTAGTCGTAAACATACTAAACCTTCTAGAGGTTGGACAAGTAAATTGTTTTCTCTTCCTACCTTCTTCTAAAGTGTGAAATTTAGGTTCATGTTTATCGTTATGATATAGTGACCTAGATATCACACCCACAGCAGATTGTGTGGCATAAAATCATCACAGGCAGCCACCAAATTTTACTTCAATTTATCTACAGTATGCTGCTTCCATTGAGGCCCATTTAGGGTGGTTGTCCAATAGTGTATTATAGTCAGCTCCAGTATTCAAGCTAACACAATCAAATCCCAGATAATACTGTACACAATATGGGTCATATCAATACTTTACTCTACCTCTCTGAAATCAAGGACAACTACTGCAACAACTTGAACTGAAGTCTTGCTTTAATCGAGCTTCTGTTCACAATTAACCTCCTGTGCTTACACTCCGCAATTCTATTCATGCTTCTGGTCTGCATGAAAAAGCCAGAAAACATAGGTTTCAACTGGACTTGATGGTTCCTTTCTACACCAATTAAAGCTTTCACGTTATATAAATCAAACACTTTGATTTACCTTCAATCCGAACATCGCTGACCGTGTCCTCTTTTGTGCGGCTAATTTAGCTGAGGATATTTTGGGGGTGGGTGAAGAAAGATGAAGCTTAAGGTTCTACTTAGGACACATAATTCAACCAATATGTACATTCACTAAAGAAAACCCTACAGAATACTCCACATACCAGAGTCAACAGACCATACACGTCTGGAATCAGGGCCTAAGGCTAGCAATTCTTCTCACGACCACAGTCTTTCACACTGGAATAATTTTGACAACAAATGTCGCAGCAGTATTTTCTTCAAATCTGCTATAAAAGCAAACCTATATATAAAAAAGGAACTGTCCAGCAATACAATATTTCTTCCGAGCCAAAATACATTTGAGCTTACATGTGACTCAAACGTCTACCGACAATGCATCAATAAATGTACTCTAACTTCATTCTTACCTTTTTATATCAAAAACAAAAGATCACTTTCAGATTAAAACAAATAAAAGCGTGTACTCTAAATTCCAAAGCTGTAGATCATGCTGCAGTTAATCCGTGGCAGCAACTCATCACGGTCTAAAATACGAATAACATCTAAAACAAATCCTTCTTCTTTTGTAAGGCTGCACTTTGCAATGACAGACCATCAAAAGCAGTGTTCACACTGCGTCTGGTTCAAACAATTTTATCTCTAATACTTAATCGTAGACGGAGAAGGCAATTCAGCAATATTACTGAAAACAAAAAACACTCAGCAGGTCAGGCAGCATCTAAGGAGAAAGGAAAGTGAGTCAACGTTTCGGGTCCACGACACTTCATCAGACTCGTTTTAACAAAGGGTCATAGACCCGAAATGTTGACTCACTTTCCTTTCTCCATAGATGCTGCCTGACCTATTGAGTGTTCACAGCGACATCTGTTTTTGTTTTCAGATTTTCAGCATCTGCAGTATTTTGTGTTTTGTCAGCAATATTACTGCTTATCTGGTGTTTTGTAAGAATTACCATTAAAATTTAACTGCAAGTCAGTGAGTTTTCAGAGAAGAATGCACATATAGAAAGGAACAATACCTCGATGTGGTCTTTCTAATGCCCAAGGAATGAGACCCAAAATGCCATATTTTAAAACAACATTTTGAAGGAACGTTTGTGGTTTTGAAGCAAGTATTGACCACAAGTCTGCATTTTCTTCTGTTATAACTGCTGTGGCTGCAATAAATCTAACAAATATTTGAGCTCTCATCTTATCCTAAACACAGCAAAACATTGTCATGCCATCACCTAGTGTGCTGTTGGCAGTACTTCTGAAGATAGCTTTAAAAAANCTGCCACACCACTGGAGACGGAACAGGGGTGAGGAAAGTATCTGAAAGTGGGGGAAGTGAATCATATATGAGGTGAAAACAACATTACATTTATTTATAAATATAAAAGGAGCTTGAAACTGGATCCTCCTTAAACATTCTCTTAACCAGTGAATATTTTATTAAAAATGTACAATTTTATTAGAAGCTGAATGGAAGTATCTATAAATAAATTCTATCAATAAAATCTTTTTTGAAAGATATTATTCTTCAAAGTTTCCTTCTAAATACCATATAATTGTTGCTGGAAATCCATTTCTGGAGGACTGCTTATATTGTACAGTAAATTATTATTTTCTTTAGGCAATGTGTAATTTTAACAAAACAAGCTTGTCGTTGCAATATTCTACAAGAAACCCAGAAGTATGCATACATTTCTATCACCAACATGACTTCAAGAATACTGTTGTTTTTATTTAAGCTCTGCTTAAATAGTGCAATTGCATAGGCATTTGCAATCCTGCATTCTGAACAAAATTACTCCACCGGTAATGTTAACATATGCAGACCAGTACAAACTTCCCAACAATAAACTTATTTTTNCTGAAAACTGCTGTACTTGACTTAATATTAGAGTGAAGAAAGTACATTAAACCCATTAGTTATTCAATTAATTCCCAGGATCAAAATTGCCCCAAGAAGGATGCTTAGATTCTGTAGTCAATGACAACACTGGTACATATCAAATATCGTCAGGGACAGAAAATAAACCACAGTACGTTATTATAATTAAACTTAATTATCTGATAAAGACCAGCTTTCAAAAACCAGAGTGTTTCTTCCCTAAATGGTAAGCTATTCAAAACAAAATGAACAGCTGATCCTCCTCAAACATCAAATACATTTCTCTGATAAATTAAAAAGATGGTGCTGTATCCTGATTTTCTTTTTAAAAAAGAATAACTTATGGAACATATAAACCTTGAAAACCCAGGACAGCTTTTTTCACTTAATTAACAAACTTACCTAACACTGTAAAATCATTCCAGAAACGCACATCTTTTCCACCTCTTGTTTGGGGAGATGGATTTACACTAGATATGCATAACTGCCCTCTAAAATGTAACTCAACTAATGAAAGTAAAATGTCAGGGATCTGAGATGGCTTAGTGGAAAATGCACACATCGTGTGGTACGTAGCCATGCAGAGTAGGAAGATCCCGGATTTGATCCCCAGCCTGTGCTGTGTTAACCAGTCTTAGTTGGTTTTAAATGCTACATTTGGTTTCAGCATCCCGTTAACCAAAGACCACAGTTAGAAATGCATATTTAAAAGAATGTTAAATTAAGAACAGATTTAGGATAGTTGTGTTGTCTCTTCAGTTCAAACATCCATCAAGTTGGAAAATCCTCAATTTAACAAACGTTTTTTAAAAAAACTACAGTTTAATTCCATCAATTATTTGCCTGCATATTTAATTATCCCAAGTTAAACCATACACATGATTATTCATCTCATTTCTAAAAATGAATAAAAAATTACAGGAATGTACTCAGTGGCTCAAATCTAAATGTCAACAACAGAGTATATTGCATTCGAAATTGGTGTGGTTTTTACTCTTGAACTGGACATCATCTGAGTTAAACTAAGTTCTATTATTTTTCTTTGAATCCTACAAATCAGTTAACAATTTGACAACTAAACCAGTATCTCTGTTGATTTAAATGAACTTTATATTCTGTCCTCAAATATCTAATATGAATGACCAGATTCAAGTAGATTTGATTCCAAAATCAATTCAGAACAAAAACAGATACTTAAGGACTTCTGAAGTTTCATGCTGTAAATGTCCAGACAGAACCAGTTTTTGTTTTTCCTCTGACATTATGCTTTACCCAGGATATAGACATAATTGTGCATGCAAGAAAGCAAAACCTCTTTTTTGTGGGAATAGGAAACTAATACAACAACTTGCATTTATATAGCGCCTTTCATGTGGGGTAACATTCTGGATCACTTGATCCGGGACTAATAATCTGATATCCGGGACCTGGGACTAATAGTCATTAGACCCAGGTCCATGCTGATATTTGCTAGCAAACTGTACTTCTATTTTACATGGACCATCGTAGAAACTAACCCAGCATTTGATGAATACTGCGCATTTATAAAACCAGTAACATTTTCCAACAGAAATTGAAAAAGATCATAAACCCACTCATGGACTGAAATATATAGTACTGTATTTAGAACATAGCAATTTCACAAACTTGAAGGATATGATTAAAACATCTACTTGATCGTGTACAAAGCAGATTTACTGGATGCTTTAGTACAGACGGTGTGTGTACAAATCAAATCTACTATCCCCTCCAGCATTAGTGGATTGATCATTCCATCACCAGTTTAAAACTACTTCGATTCGTCGGCACCAAGAAAGAAACCTCCACCAGTGTTAAGACAAGAAAGCGACAGACACCGACATTTCCAGGCTGTGTATTCTGGAGAGCAAGAAGCCAGCGGGACGCTTTCCTGCAGGCGACCGTCCCAAGGGCAAGGCCCGGGTGAAGAAGTGATCCAGTCGTCATAGCAACCGCCTACCTGTCAGCAAGACTTTTTGGCTCGTTGGGAACGCCGCGGTTTTGTTTCCTTGCGCTCTTGCGGAGGCAGGGGAAGCGGTCTTCTTCACGTCTCCTTCCCTGACGGCTGCCTGACCCGGCAATGAACCGGGCGGCGGGCCGGCTCCGTGCGACCCGCTGATGCGTTGCTTCATCTCCAAGGAGAGCATCCGGCCTCTGGTCATCCATTCTTGCATCTTGTTGACTGTGACGGCCGGTGGCTTCAAGGAGCACCCGGGGCTGTCACTGCATTCATCCGCTGGCCCTTCGCACCACCCACCGGCAGCATCGCCGGAGCCCCTCGACCGGTTCTCTGGATTCTCCACACCTGCCTGACAGGTGGAGGCAGCCGACGCCCGAAGCCGTGAGACGCCAAACGAAGGGGTCCGACTGCACTGCGAGCTCTGGGTCCGCCTTTCGGGCTGGAGGTCCGCACCGCTGCGAGAGCCGGGCCTGGGCCCCGAGTGCACGGCTCCCGGACCCGACCGACCCGGACGAACCGGATCGGCATAGTTCACGACCCCATCGCTGACCGACCGTCGCAAGCGCTGCCCCGCCACCGCGCTGACGAGATTCCCGATGCTTTTACTCGCCATCCCCCTCCTCCCAGACCGGCGGGGCCCGGGCTCCGAGTTCGTGTCGGGTCGGCGGTGTTGCGGCGGCGGCGGCGGCGGCGCGGCCTCCACGGAGGACCGACAGCCGTCGCCCTCGACCGCCCCGACTGGCGCGCAGACCCTCTCCCGCGACCGGTCACTCCACAGCCCGTCGCCGCAGCCCAGGTCCGCGGGGGCGGCCGCCGGCGTGTCGTGCATGGCGTGGATGAGCAGGGAATAGGCTTCCTGTAAGCGGCTCCTCAGCCGCGCTCTCTCCCGGGCGCTGTCCGGGCTGCCTTCCCCGGGGCGGTGCTGCGGTGCGGGCGGCACCTGCTCCAACACGGCCGCGCCTCCCTCGGAACGGCTCAGCCGCCTCCACCCCCCCCGCCGCCCCCCCGGCCCGGGCTCGGGCTCGCCGTCCCTCAGCATCTCGTTATCGTAGTAATCCTCCTCTTCCTCGTCGTCCTCCTCTTCCTCGTCCTCCTCCTCCTCCTCTTCGCTGTCCAGCGAGTCCTGGCGCCGGGCGGCTCGGCTGCGGCGGGGGTCGGGGTCGGGGTCAGCCTGTGCCGCCGCCGCCGCCGAGCCCGGCCTCGGACCCTGGGTTGGGGCGGCGGCGGCCAGACACCTGTCGGGACTCGGACACTTGTCCATCAGCTCGTCCTCTTCCTCCGCCACCGCCGCCGCCGCCGCCGCCTCCAGGGCTCCAGCTCCCGGCTCCATCCCGGTCGCTTCTGGTCCGGAGCCACCGGCGCTCCTCAGCCCGCACTCCCCGGCCGCCCGCTCCTCCTCCTCCAGTGACCCCCGCCGCCGCCGCCTGCCCCCGGCTCCCGGCCCCCCCCAGCCCCCGGCCGGGGAGAGGAGGTGTTGCTCAGCTCGAGCCCACGCCCGTCCGGCCTCCTCCTCCTCCTCCTCCTCCTCCTGCCGCCGCCGCTCGGGTTCCCGGAGCTGCTGTTTACCTGCCTGACTCCTCCCGCCGAAGCCGCCATCGCCGCCGCCGCCGCCACCACCACCACCGCCGCCGCTCGGCCCCGGCTTCTTGGATCTCCTGCCCCGCAGTTTGGCCAACAGAGTCCGGCGCAGGGGGTCGGCCATGCCCGCGGGGCTGCGCTGCCGCCCGTGCCTCTCGCTGCCAGTCCCGCCGCCGCCGCCGCTGCTGCTCTGAGCTCGCGCCTGGCAACACACGTCAGCCATCGGCCGCCGCCGCCGCCACCGGCCCGCGGCTCCCCCCTCACTCCACCACCTCACACCTCACAGCGCAGGCGCGACCCCCACCCCCACCCGGCGATACAACCGGAGGGCGAGGAGTCATAGTGCGTGAGAGGGGAGTAACAGAGAAGGGGGGGGGAGGGGGGGTAATAGTGGGAGAGGAGTAATAGAGGGACAGGAGTAATAGAGAGAGAGAGAGAGGATGGGGGAGTAATAGGGGTGAGGTGTAATGGAGAAGGGGGAGTAATCGGAGGGGGGGAGTAATAGAGAGAGGAGTAATAGAGAGATGGGGGAGTAATCGTGGGAGAGGAGCACTAGAAAGAGAGGGGGGGAAATAGTGGGAGAGGAGTAATGGAGAAGGGGGAGTAATCGCGGGAGAGGAGTAATAGAGAGAGGAGTAACAGAGAGATGGGGGAGTAATCGTGGGAGAGGAGTAATAGAAAGAGGAGTAATAGAAAGAGGGGGGAAATAGTGGGAGAGGAGTAATAGAGATGGGGGAGTAATCGTGGGAGAGGAGTAATAGAGAGAGGATGAGGGAGTAATAGGGGAGAGGAGTAATAGAAAGAGAGGAGTAATAGAGAGAGGGGGGAAATAGTGGGAGAGGAGTAATAGAGAAGGGGAGTAATAGTGGGAGAGGAGGAATAGAGAGAGGAGGAATAGAGAGAAGATGAGGGAGTAATAAGGGAGAGGAGTAATAGAGAGAGGGGGGAAATAGTGGGAGGAGTAGCAGAGAGGGGGGGCAAATAGTGGGAGAGGAGTAATAGAGGGGGGGGGTAATAGTGGGAGAGGAGAAATGGAGAGATGGGGAGTAATATGGGAGAGGAGTAATAGAGAGGGTGGGGGAGTAATAGTGGGAGAGAGCAGTAATAGAAAGAAGGGGTGTAATAGTGTGAGAGAGGAGTAAGCGAGAGGGAGTGACAGAGAGAGAATAGGGGGAGGAGTAATAGTGTGAGAGAAGAGAGTAATAGTGTGAGAGAGGAGCAGTGGTGTGAGGGAGAGGAGTAATAATGTGAGAGTGGGGAGAGGACCAATAGTGTGAGGGCGGGAGAGGAGCAACAGAGAGAGGGAATTGAAATAGAGTGGGAACGGCAATAAGAAGACAGCGAGAGGGGAAACGCTTTAGATACAGTGCTTATCACGTCATTGAGACATCTCAAATCGCTTCACAGAATAAAATTGTCACGTGAATTGACTGTATATTATTGCAGACAAAATACCAAATAGTGAGAGAGAGAGAGAGAGAGAGATGTATTTGTAACAGAAATAGTATGTGTAAGAGAGAGCAGCAATTGGGTCCAGGTGTGTGAAAGAAAGCAGCAATACAGTAGCATGAGAGAGACAGAGAGAGTTAATTGTGCTTTCAAATAGGGAACCAATAAACTAAGGGTAGGAAAACTGAATTGGGAAAACAAGAAAATAGAGGGATTTACGTGGGGAAATGGTTACAACTGGGAGCAACCGTACTGGAAAATGAATCTGGGTAATTTGAGGAAAGGAAAACGGAGAGACTGAGACTATTCGGAGAGACTAGGTGAAGAGGTTAAATGCATATATCATTCGTTTAACTATAATAATTTTTAAAAATCATTAAGTTTTAATGAAATGCCTCAGTATGATACCAGGAAATGATTAGGAAAAGGTTCAGTTATCCTTCCCACAGGCGACTGGAAGCAACCAAGTGTTAAGAAAACATGTTTTTGAAAACTACACTTGACTTGTTACCAAACAATAAGAAAACATTTTTAGATTCATAATTATTCACAATAGTCGGAAGAAGTAGTGAAATTGACTAGAAATAAATGACTAAAAAGTGGCTTGTATCATATCTGAGAAAAAGTTAAAAACAAAACTAACAAGTAAATTAACAAAACGGCCACTTTGGGGCTTCCGCAAACAGTTCTGCAGACTAGATAATGTCTTAAACAGTATTAAGTCTGGTTCCTAAAAGGCTGCAGCACCCAAAGCACTGGAAAACAAACGTTTGCAAATATTCAGTTCGCTAGGCTGGGTTTGGCTGACCAAACCAAGATCAATTCCAGTTTCTGCTGCATCTGTAATTTCAGGACAGAATGGATAGTGCTTAATGGCTCAGGCTGGAGGAAGGAATATTGAATTCCTTACTCTGTATGTATTGGAAACATAATTCAGCAGACATGGCTTACATTTAGTTTCTCGGATGAGATACAGTACCAGTGTCGGGATATACAGAGAATCAATCACATTTGTCTCTCTTCAGACAGCAATCATTTAGAATAAATTCCTCAGATTGAGTTAGCGCCGAGTGTGGTAGTTGAAGATTCAGTGCCTTAGGCACTATTTTCTATGAAAAGAAACCATTCAAGGAGGCTTGGTTCTGGTTTAGTGATTGATTTTCATGATCATTTTTCCCCATTCCCTGAAGCAATTTCTCATTTAAAAAATGACTAAGTTGTACAGTACAGTATTTTATTTTTCAAAATAAAATCCCATTGAGGACCTTAGCAACATCTCAATGAATGAAAATGCTACTGTCAAATGTGGTCAAAAGGGTGAATTAAATCCTTAATGCCTGCTTTAATAGAAATAAAATAATAATGTTTACACCTGTAGACTAATTTTAACACATTTTGAGGGATAGTAACACTCAAAAATGTTATTAAGTTGTTTTTTTATTTAAAAACTATGAGGGGAAAAGGCTGGCAAAAAGGATCCAATGACTGGAAATCATCAAGGCTGAAATAAAAATGGTCTTTGGAGGTTATCATGATACTGTACATTCAACTGCACTGAAACAATGCATGAGTCACTGTTTTCATCAGAAGATGTACAAGGAGAGAAAATCAGAAGACCTTCACTCCTAGTGCAGGTCAACGCTAGGGATGGATTGGATGTTTGTGGGACAATGTGGTGTACAAAGTGGCTGTTGCATTCACCTACAAATACAGAGTCACTACACTTAAGAGTAGAATCCGGCACCCTTTGAGATATTTCAATGTGATACGGTGCTATATCAAATGCAATTACAGGTATTATTATTATTTGCTCTCCTTTCATCATTATGTTTCTTGATTTTCACTCCATAATTGTAGATTGTCAATGCAGATCTAAAATTTCCTCTCTGGTCTCCTAAAGTACACCACCATCATACATACTATTCCCTCTCTCCCCCACCCACTGGCCCGGCTGAAAGACGTAATATAAATGTAAACTGTATTGCATTATTCCCATGTTGTAATCAAAATTCATCTCCTATTTCTTATTCGCTAACATATTCTTTCCAAGCTCCTGTAGCTCAGTGGTTAGAGCAATCGCTTTGCAAGCAAGACACCTGGGTTCAATTCCCGGCAGGGCGAAACCTTGGCCAAGTTTCCTTACTCCACACGCCTAATAATAATCCCTCGAAAAAAAAACAATAATAAATTGGTCATTTTCAATCCACCACTGTTTGTGGGACACTGCTGTGCGCAATGGGCTGCTGTGTTTCGCCCACAAACATACAGTCAATTCACTTTACAGTCTATTCTGTGAAGCGCTTTGAGACGTTGAGAAGACGTGAAAAGCGCTATATAAAATGTAAGGATTATTATTATTATAAGAATCTCAACTGTGCACCTGCTAACTTTCTTAATCCTCCCTTCTTCCTACAATTGACAAACACTTTTTCAACCTTGGTAGTTTTCAAGTCTTGCTGCTTCATTTAGTTTCATAATAAAGTCCTGTAGCTTAGTGGTTAGAGCGCTTGCCTTGCAAGCGAGACACCTGGGTTCGATTCCTGGGCAGGGCGAAACCTTTGGCAAATTTCCTTACTCCACACACCTCTGTTT